CTTCACATTACAGTCTACTAGAGACAAACAACCCTTTGCTTCAAGGAAACCAATGTCAGTAAGTAGTTCCAAGCAGTATTTCCTTTGACTTACTGAGATTCCTTTGTGATCTCTTACAACTTCCAGACCAAGGAAGTAGTTCATCTGACCCAGATCCTTTACCTTGAATTCTTTACTGAGGAACATTTTCAATTGTTCAATATCACCAAGGTAACTTCCAGCAATCAAAATATCATCCACATACACTAAGACAACCACAACTCTTCCCTGGATCCATCTAACAAACATGGAGTAATCTGAAGCAGTTTGTGAATAGCCATTCTTCATCAGAGCACTAGTTAACTTAGCAAACCACTGTCTACTAGCTTGCTTAAGTCCATACAAAGATTTTTTGAGTTTATAAACCAAACCTGAGCCTTTTGGGATGTCAACTCCAGGTGGGATTTCAAGGTAGACTTCCTCATCCAAGTCCCCATGTAAGAATGCATTAGATACATCCATCTGATGTATGTGCCAGTCCTTAGAGGCTGCTACTGCTAGAAGAGTCTTGACAGAATTTATTTTTGCCACAGGGGAATATGTATCAAGGAAATCAATTCCATAAATCTGTGTGTAGCCTTTGGCTACCAGTCTTGCTTTGAATCTCTCAATAGTACCATCTGCTTTGTACTTAATCTTAAACACCCACTTGGTTCCCACAGTTCTCTTTCCCTTAGGAAGTTTAACAATTTCCCATGTCTGATTCTCTTCCAGTGCTGCTAATTCTTCTTTGCAAGCCTCCTTCCACCTTGGATCTTTACAGGCTTGAGCATATGATGTTGGTTCCTCATTTACCATAATGCTCATAGCAACCTTCTGTTGAGCAGGTGTGAGTTGCTCAGAGGTATAGTAATGCCATACATGGTGTTTGGTACAGGAGGCTGCAATATTGACATGATAGTCCTTATGCCATATAGGAACAGTTTTAACTCGACTGGACTTCCTGATATACTCAGCTTCATCTGAGTCAACTGGATCAGGAAAGACCTCAATCTCAGCTTCCTCCCCCACAGACTGCACACCAGTAGTGTCAGTTGAAGAGAAAGATTCATCTGAGGCAGTAGGCAGTGCAGAAGAAGAGGAAGAAGGAGTGGAAGTAGACAAAGGAGTATCTGAAGGGGGTGCAGGCTGAGAAGAAGAAGGAGATGAATGAGAAGAAGAAGAAGAAGAAGAAGAAGAAGAAGAAGAAGGTAAAGTAGGGGAAAGAAGAGGAAATGCAGTATAGATTGGATCTGCAACTGTGGGAGAAGTGGAAAACTGGTTAACAGCAAATGGGAAGATGGTTTCATAGAATGTGACATCACGAGAGATAAAGAAAGAATGATTGTTGAGATCATAGAGTTTATAGCCTTTAACCCCTGTAGGAAAACCAAGAAAAATGCACTGCCTAGCCCTACTGTCAAACTTGGTCCTGTCTCTGTGCAAGGTGGCAGCAAAAGAGAGACAACCAAAAACCTTTAAACCAGCAAGGCTAGGTGGTTTGCCATACAAGCATTCATAAGGTGTTTTGTTTTCCAAGACTGGATAGGAAGTCTGTTAATGAGGAAAACAACATGGAGGATGTAGTCACTCCAAAAGGTAAGAGGAAGTCCTAATTGGAATCGAAGTGACCTGGCAACATTCAGTATATGCTGATGTTTGCGTTCAACACGAGCATTTTGCTCAGGTGTTTCAACACAGGACTGTTGGTGAACAATCCCATGCTCAGTGTAGAAATCAGCATGTGAAATTCACTGCCTTGGTCACTTCTAACAACCTTAACAGGCTTTGAGAATTGCTTAAAAACCATAACACAGAAAGCTTTCAACAAGGTACTAGCTTCTGATTTAAACTTCATGAGGTAAGTCCAAACACCTCGAGAGTAATCATCAACAATTGTCAGGAAATAAGAATATCCCTCATGGGATTTTACAGCAAGAGGACCCCATATGTCCACATGAATTAGTTCAAATGCATCTTGTGCATGACTAGTACTGCTAGGAAAGGGAAGCCTTCTATGTTTGGCAAAATGACATGTTTCACAGTGGAAAACTGAAGTCCTATTACAAGGGATTAAAAGATTTTCTCTGTGTTTACTAGGATGGCCTAGCCTCCAATGGCAGAGGTCAATAGTGTGGGGAGAGAAGTTGTATGTAGAAGCAGCCTGAGGTGTATTGAGAAGTGGTTGTGTGGACTTGGAAATCAACTGGTAGAGACCTCTAATCTGTTTTGCCAAACCAGTCCTGCTCTGGGTCATGAGGTCCTTAATTTGGCAAGAATCAGATTCAAAATGTAAGAAAATGGGAAGGTCATTAGTCAGTTTGCTAACTGACACTAAATTGAAGGTGAAGCTAGGCACTAATAGGACATTGTCAAGGATAAGGTTGATAGGAAGTCTCACTCTGCCTATATGACTAACTGCCACTTTAGTACCATTAGGTAGGAAGACAAACTGACCAAACATAGGAGTAGATTCAATAAAAGCATGCAAGTTACATGCTATATGGTCTGAAGCCCCAGTATCTAGGATCCATACCTCCATAAGTGAATCATTCTTATGTTGTAGATAAAAAGATAAGATGTATTTACCAGCATGATTGGGAAAGTGTGGAATATGCTGTGCCACTGAGAAGGCAAGGTGGTTGATGGATGGGGATGCTGGTGGTGAAGGACTGGGAGATGAGGAAACTGATTGCAGAAGGAACCTTAGTTTGTTCAACTCATCTAAAAACAGGCTGATGCTGGAGCTTGTACTTTTGGTGTCAATGCTGAGTTTTGTATCTGAACTGGCTGAGTCACTATCAGTGGAAGAATCACCTTGTGACACAGCTGCAACAACATTGCTTCCAGCCATTCTTGCCTTCTTGTTCTTCAGACGATAGCAGTCTCCAATGTTGTGGTTCTCCTTCTTACAATATCTGCAGAACTTAGGCCCATCTGAACTTGAGCTTGGATTGGGTGCAAACTTGTTTTGGTTCTGAACAGCAAGGGCAACAGTCTGCACTCCCCTTGTCACTCCAGCTTTTATCCCCTTTGATCTTCTGCTCATGCTGAAGAAGATCATTCACAGCATTATCCACTGTTGGTAAAGGCTTCATCATAAGCAGCTGTGTGTGGATCACTTCAAATTCTGGTCTCAAACCTTTCAAGAAGCGGATTAGGTACTCCACTTCTTGTTTCTGCTTAAAAGCTTCCACTGCTGTACAAGGACGAGTCCTTTGGGCAACACAGTCACACTCTACAATGGGATTGAATTGAAGATTCTCTTCCCATAAACCTTTAAAAGCAGTGTACTGTGTGATATTGAGAGTGCCCTGTTTGCAAGCAATAATCTGATCCTGCAGATTGGCTAATCTGATAGCATTTGTAACACCAAATCGATTCTTAAGTTCAGTCCAGAGAAGACGAGCATTCTCATGCTGCATAACACTCCTCCTAATTTCTTTGTCAATGGAATTCAAGATCCAATACAGAACAAGGGTATTACAAGCATCCCACATCACAAACGAATCATCTGCCATATCAGGCATAGGAATAGAACCATCGATGAAACCCAGCTTATGTTTAGTTTTCAAAGCCATACGAACTGCACGTTGCCACATCTGGTAATTAGGGCCATCTAGATTCTCAGAAACAATCGATTGGGAAATGTTTTCGTTTGGGTTGATGTAGAATGGATTACCGAAAACCAGATCTGGGCGACCGTCTCTGGTGTTGTTGTTTGTGCTGGTACTGCCATTGTTCGTCATGTTGGATTGTGGGTCGAAGCTTCCGAAGGGAATAGGACCACTGCGCAACGGAGTACCACCAGGTGGTGTGTTGGGAGTTTGATTCGCCATTGTTGGTCACTGGACCGTTCCAGCTCTGATACCATGTAGAAAAGCTCAGAGAGTTAGGGTTTGATAAGAAGAAGAAGTGTAATGGCAGTATAGAATTGGAACCCGCAAGGAGCTCAGCTCCATCTCATCTCTGTATTTATACTGAGTTCAAAAGAGTAAAGTTGCAGTACAGTAAAAACTGAAATGTCTGTTAAAACAGAAATACAAATGCGGTAAATAAAATGTGCCATGTGTCTTCGATTGATTGGCCTCCCTCTGTTCCACCTAACGGTAAGTAAGCCTCCACGACGTCGCTTCGGTCTTCGCCTACGCTAGATGGAATGGGAGGCAGAAACGTTTCTGCCTCTTGATCTCTGTAAAACCAGCGGCTGCTTCAATCTTCTGAGAATCCTGCAACAGCTTCAATCATCTTCATCTTCCTTGTTCAATATCCATCTCAGCATCATCGAAAGCTAAATCATTGTCATGATTTCTCACTAATGGAGAGGAATTGGGTACCTGGAGCTCATCGGTTCCACGCTTACTGCCAAGTGCCCAGTTCACCAACCTAGCTATTGCCTTGCCTAGTCTCGATCGAGCAAATGAAGCTAGCAATTCCGGTGGGAGAAGGGCGGCAGCCAGTAGAAGCTTAGCAACTGAAACGAGGACGAAAACTATTGCCTCAGGTGCCACCATGGTAGTAGGTTATATGAGAAATTACAAGGCCTCAAGAGTCAAGAGTCAAGAGTCAAGACTATGAAACAATCGATTACTTCATCACATTTCCTGACCCTGCAATTTATACACGGTTAGCAGTGACGCTACAATTGTAATCCCCAACGCTGTATTGGCGGTTCCATGCTAATCAATGGTTTCCAACACATTCCATCTTTCCAACATCTCGACGCCCTCAATTGTAGATTTCCAACACATTCCATCTTTCCAACATTATATGCCTTTTAACGTTTAAGAAGCTGATAGCTGTCAGTCGTTAATTCTTTGGTTAGTGAGGCGACAGTGCAAAGTCTTTTTTTTTTTTTTTCCATCATCATCCAAGTTGTTCACTTGAGATCTTGACCGTTGGATTAGTTTTGGCATTTTCTACCTTTACAATGATACATGGTAATACTTCCAAGAACCATCAAGCACGTTTGTGCCCAGATCTCTGAACATGACAATCTGACTACCCTAGTCATGTGCAACCGTAAGGCATCACAATTTAAAACCGCACCCAGTACCAAAAGGAAACCCAAATCCGCCATGGGAGAAAGCATCGAACCAGCTTTCATACAGGCTCTAGAGCACCGGCCAAACAACCAAGAAGACACTGCCCAACTACCTGAAACCATACCCACCATCGATCTCTCCTTGCTGAATTCCCCTGCTGAACCTTCGAGACTCGAGGGTCTGGTGAAGGAGATCGGCAGAGTCTGCAAGGAGTGGGGATTCTTTCAGGTAGTCAACCATGGAGTGCCCTCCAAGGTGCGGCAGAGGATGGAGAAGGCGGCGAAAGAGTTCTACGACCATCCATTGGAGGAGAAGATGAAGGTGAAGAGAGATGCAGAGAACCCAATGGGGTACCATGATAGTGAACATACCAAGAATGTTAGGGATTGGAAGGAAGTGTTCGACTTCTTCTCGAAGGAGCCAGCTGTTATCCCGGCATCTGAAGATCCTGATGATCAAGAGCTCAGGACTGTTAACAATCGCTGGCCTCAGTACCCTCCTGAATTCAGGTATTCGTCCTCCTCGGCTCCTTGCTTTTTGCCATCTCGCGAATTAGGGTTCCAATCAGTCTGTACTAATGCTTTGATGTAATGTACAGAGAGGTGTGCAAAGAGTACAGTGCAGAAGTTGAGAAATTGGCATACACGGTGCTAGGGTTAGTGTCCTTGAGCTTAGGCTTGCCGGCTGATCGGTTGAACAAATACTTCACCCATCAACTGAGCTTCACCAGGCTGAACCACTACCCTCCATGCCCTGCCCCCGACCTTGCACTTGGCGTGGGCAGGCACAAAGATGCAGGAGCCATAACCGTCCTTGCTCAGGATGAAGTTGGAGGGTTGGAAGTGAGGAGGAAATCAGATGGGAAATGGTTCCCCATAAAGCCAACTCCTGATGCATATATCATCAACATTGGCAATTGTATGCAGGTAAGAGAGAGCTACCCGTTCCTTGGTCTTTCCTTTGTATGTACATGGTAGTCTAAAGTGAGTTTTACCTGTGGAAAACAAAATGCAGGTGTGGAGCAATGATGAGCTGTGGAGCGCTGAGCACAGGGTGGTGGTGAACTCTGAGGAGGAGAGGTTTTCAATGCCTTTCTTCTTCTTCCCTTCTCATTATGTGGGGATTAAGCCACTGGAAGAGCTTGTGAACAACCACAACTCCCCCAACTATAAGGAGTATAACTGGGGGAAGTTCTTTGCTAGCAGAAACCGCAGTGATTACAGTAAGCGACAAATCGAAAACATCCAAATTGATCAGTTCAAGCTATCAAATTGACCCTGTTGGTGTTCCTAGCTTCAAGTATGAATAAATAGGAACTGATGTTTTTACTATTTTGACTTCTACCCTATTGTTCTAGTGGTAGTAAATATCATAAAACCTTAAACCTCTAATGAGTAACGATGCAAAGCATTAAAAGAGAGCTTCCATTCCCTTTGCTTCTCAGTCTAAACTTTAATTCCTTCTTCTACCTCTGTTTCGACGGGATGAGACCACTGTAGTCCACCCATCAACCTCCGGTTGAGTAACGGGTGAATCCACCGCCATCATATTTGACTCGCCACCAGTAATCATCTTATCTCCATCCTCACTTCCAGAAGAGTCATCATCATCATCATCAATCACAGTCTAATACAGCGGGTCAGGGAACAAAAAAAGACCAGATTAACAGAGAAGGAAATATTATATGAGCTAATTATGAAACCCACATCACAACTTTCACAGCATATCAATAACCTGTGTAATATGATGATGAGTTGCGGCAGCATTAGGCACTGGCGCGCTTCTCAGCTTCTCGACAGAGCTATAGTTACCTTCCAAACATTCCTCGTGCATAATCATCAATTTCTCTACAACCTGTATCCATGGTAAGAATTCAAGCGGACAACGTCAATTTTCAGCAAGGTTATTAATCATACTCCAGGCAATCTGAAGATTAAGGTGTGACCTCCTCAATTTCGCGGCCGTCGTCCTCAAACCTGACCCCCAGAGAATCGGTTCCGTCGTCAAGAATGTCTTCTAGATCATCAATGTAAAGCGGCTCGTTGGCTGGATGGAGCATGAGAGATATTTTTCGAAGGAAAAATCAGGAATCGCGAGGTTAGCCTGAATTCGACGAGCGAAATTCGACGAACAGATTTTCGACGGCAGCTAGAGTTTTACCTTTGTGGCGGGTGAACCAGGAGTAGACGTCGGATGCTAGTTGATCGGCCAGTTGCCGGGAGCCGCGGCCGGCTAATTCCTGCTCGGCGACGTCCCGAAGAACCGACCATCTGGTGAGAATCAAATACATTCCTTCCTCGAATATCCGCAGTGACTCCGCCGTCAGCCGCTTCGCTGGCCCGTTTCCAGAGCTTCCGCCTCCGCCATTCATCCTTAGCTTCCCGTCCCGGATCTGATCCCTAGCTAACCAATCTCCTGTTTCTTCTCCTGCTATCTCCACTTCTCCGGCGCGCGCTAATCACTGCTTCCGTGTAAAGCCTGGAAGGGCAAATCTGTTTTATGATTCATGATTGACGATTTAATTTAATTTAATTATATTTTTCTAGTGACATCCAATGCATTAAGAAAGCCCAACTATCTGGATCCTCAAAGTCGAGCCCAATACAATTTGGGTGGGCGTAAGCCTAGGCCCAAATCCACATTATCGATACTCGAGTGGCGACAAGGCACAATAATACGGCTCCGGATAGCATAACAACACTTTAAGTGTTGTTATTATAACAACAAGGGTATAAGGGTAACTGCACAAAATATTAAATAATAAGTTGTTTTCTTTTACCTGGCATTAAATTTGAAATTCAAAATTAATAATAAAATTCATTGAAGCGCGCGATTGAGACATTTCCGTTTTCCGCTTTCCCCTTTCCCCTCTGCTCACAAACTGCTCTCCGACGGGACGTCTCCTTCAGTTGCCTTCTCTCTGTTCTCGCCAAATTTTCATCTGCATCGAGTGCGGCTTGTGGATTTCCTTCGCGCGATTCTGTTTCCTTCGTCGCCGAAGTGAATTTCGAGGTATGCCGGTGATTTCCTCCGCTAAACTGTCTTCTCCTCCGTCGTCAGTTTTGGCCTGCGAAGTCGCCGTTGTCGTTTGGCGTCGCCGGAGTTCCACTTGTATGGTGTTAGTTTGGCGTCGCCGTTGTCGTTTTCGTTAGCATTGTCATTGCTTGCTTCCGCTATTGAATTTACAACCTTCGTTTTCATGTTTGCCCTCTGTTACTTTCGTTTTCCAGTTTTCTGCGATGTTTTGACGCATCCAGTCTAAATTTGTTGAAGGAGACGAGGAAATTTCATAGTTGTGCGTTCTGGTTAGGTTTTGTTGGATGTTTCTTCATTTTTGTGGTGTGCTTTGATTATTTTAGGGTTTCTGGTTTCTCATGAGTCGTTTGTGGTGGTGTTTAGTAGTTCTGTTGTTTTGTTCTTTATTTTGGTGGTGCGCTTTGTGTTTGGTGACAGTTAGGGTGTTTGTGGGTTCGATTGGGGCCTTTCTGGGGGGTTTTAATAAAACTATTGTGTATTTCCAGGCTGCTGTTGGTGGTTCTTTTAAAAGGTTTTGTGGTTTGTGTTTCGGATTTCACAGTTTGGTTTAGGAGATTTGCTGGTGTGCATTTGCAGTTGTTGTTTGTCTCCTTTACATCTGATTATTGAGTCGTTTGTGGTGGTGTTCAGTAGTTCTGTTGTTTTGTTCTTTTTTTTGGTGGTGCGCTTTGTGTTTGGTGACATTTAGGGTGTTTGTGGGTTTGATTGGGGCCTTTCTGTAGGTTTTTAATACAACTATGGTGTATTTCCAGGGTGATGTTGGTGGTTCATTTGCAGTTGTTCTTTGTCTCCTTTAAATTTGATTATTGGATTGTTTTCATGGTTGTACAGTTTGCATTAGGCCCTTGATGGTTTGCATTTTATATGTTCTGGTATGAGATTGCTTATGTTGGTTTGTGTTTTGGTTGTTTTGTAGGCATGGCACCTTGTAAGAAACGTGAAGTAAAGGGGAAAGAAAAGGAAAAAGTTCCAACACCTAAGCGAGAAAAAAAGGTGGTTCTCCTGTGCCTGGAAAGCCGGATAAGAAGCATCGTAGTAATACTAATCATATTCTTGCCATCATGGATGCTGACAGTACAACTAAAGAAAAACTGCAGATGCTTGATCCTCTGGGTTTAGGGGTGTGTCGACGGTTAAGCTTACAAGACTCCCGGATAATTTTACTGAATGGCTTTGCAAAAGTTTTGATGTCAGTTCAAGGTCTTTCCCGCTGCTTCCATCAGGGAAGTTTAGAATTGGAGAGGCAGATGTGGAGAGAGTCTATGGTTTGCCGAGTGGACCGTATGCTGTTAAGCTGGATATGTTCAGTGCAGCCCAAAGGCACAGGTGGGGAATTGAGTTAGGGCTTTCCAATACTAGGAAAGGAAATGCGACATTGGCGAACGTTAAATTGGCATTGGAAGAGGAGAGGGACAATAAGAAGTGGAGGGATCTTTTTGTACTGTATGCAATGGAGACAGTTCTGTGTCCCACTGGAAATTTGAAGATTAACCTCTCATATGCTGGTTTTTTGCAAGATGAAATGGTCGCTGACTTCACCCAATATAATTGGTGTAAGCATGTGGCTGACCATTTTAATGACAGTATGGTTGAAGTGGTTCAATCAAAATCAAAGTTCCCTGGTGACGTTCATCTTCTTTTTGTAAGTCAATAAATATACCTCTTTTCGAATTTTGGTTTAATGTTTCATTTATGGTTTGTTTATTGACGAATGTGGTGTGGTTGAAGATGTTTATGGTTTGTTTAAGAATATTTATGGTTTGCTTTTGCCCCCCCCCCCCCTTGTTGTGTGGTGTGTATTATAATCTTTCTGGCACAGTTTTTTGTGGTTGCTTGACTTCTGTCTGTTTGTATATGTGGCAGATTTCGATTCTTGACCGTTTGAAGAACCCCCCCTGAGCTGCCCATACCGACCTGTAGGCACAGGTCGTACAAAGTCGCAAGTGCTGCTTTTCAAGTACTGATGGACGAAGGTTATCTCACTATTGGTCATCGAGATGTAGTGGTGGAAGAACAAGCAACCTCCAGTCAACCAATGGGACGAGGACGTGTGAAGGGTTCAAAGAGGAAAAGGCCGGTAGATGATCTTGATATGGAGAGGGAAGGGGATCTTCCGAAGCTTCCCTATCTTGACCTCAACTTGGATGGTATTCATTCGGTTGAAGAAGTGAGTGATTTTTCTGTGTTATTCGTTTTATGGCTTTCTTTAGAGTACTTTCAGTGTGCTTTACAAGTATAGTGGTTTGCATTAGTTTGTTTACAGAATACTTTATTTTATTCATGTGCTGGTTAGTTGTGTTTTCTGTTGTTTGTTCTTTGGCTTGCGTTTGTGTACTTGTGGTTTCTATTAAAAGAATAGTGGTTTGCATTACTTCGTTAAAGGAATATTTTATGGTACTCATCGTTTGGTAGGTGTTTTTCTGTGAGAATTCAAACATATGTGGTTTGTATAAGTGTGTTTTAGGTGTTCATTAAAAGGAATGTGAGATTCTTTAGAAGGTTTATGGTTTGCTTTTGGGTTGTTCAATAACTTTGGGCTATTTTCATGTTTTTGTAGGCATATCAGTTGAAGAATAACATGAAAAGTTATAAGAGGGCTTTGTTGAGGATAGCTACTCATTATAGTTCAAGCATTGAACAAGTTGATGATCATATAAAAATGCTGGAGGGGCAGCAACCAGAGGATAGTCCTAAAGATAATGTCGATTTCACTGATAGAGTTGATGATGTTGCTGTTGGTAAGGGAACCAATGATGTCGGTCGCAATGCATCTGCTGCCAATGCTGATGATGAGACTGGTGCTAACAGTCCAAAGTCCCCGGGTCTTGATGATTTGTCAATGGAGATGGATAAGGATGGTGCTTGTACTGTTGATGGTGTGTCGCCAGATGTTGGTCACAATGATCCTGCTGGCACTGCTAATGATGATACCTCTCCTAAGGGAGTATCAGATTCGAAGGGGCTTGATGATCATCTTGATAATCTGACAATGGAGATGACACAAAAAAGTGTTGATTCTGAGAATGCTAAGAAGGTGATGGAGATGGACAGCTGTGAGGAAAAGGGACAAGGTGATGATGGAGATGACAATGTTGATGGTGTTGACGCTGCTAAGTTGGATAACTTGGTTGAGAAGGTCATAAAGGTATTTTTACTGTTTTGTGTTTGAATATTTGTGGTGTGGATTATACTGTTTTTGGTTTGTTTGTCATGTCTTTTGTAGTAGGTTGTTTTGCATTTGTTAGTAGTGTGGTTTACATATATCTGGTTTTGTTAAAAACTTTTGTGGTGTGGTTTCTGTAGTCTGCTATGGGGGATGTTTGTGAAGATGTGGTGGTTGATGAGAAAAGGAAAGAAGCTTATGTCGGTGAGGTGCTTGAGGGTGGTGATGATAGTGCAGATTTACCATTGAGTCAGCTAGTTAGGAAGGGAAAGGTAATTTGTTGTACAATGTTTCAGTTTTGGTTTGTTTTTGTAGTGTGGTTTATCGCATTTGTGGTTTGTGTTAGTTGTTTTTAGTACTATTTTATCTAATTTGTGGGTTGCTTTAAAAATCAGAAAAAATTTAAAGTGAAGAATGCAGGAGGCTC